GAGGATCGATCCTCAGACGAGATCCTATACTAGGTTCCACGGGATTCATCACTGAGGACACTGGCTTCATCGTTCTAGCGGGTTACTGGACAAGACAGTATTGGCAATACCGGAACATGCCGCGTTGAGCTTGGTTCCGAGATTATAGTCTACTTCCTTAATCCTAACATCAGAGGTTTCAGATATCACCTACGATATTTGTGATGAGTCTTTGGAACCGGATATCCTTCTTCTCACTTGTCACTGACTGACTTAACTAATAGGGTACCAGTTTCCTTCAGATTCTTTGCACAACCGTAACTAGCTTCCAGGTAGCTCTTTCGCCCCGCCATTCCTTCTTCAGGAACAGAGTTAGGCCTTGACCTTCTTCTCTTACTTGCTTGTACCTGACTGCCGGAGACTGTTCCTGTCCTGATTTATTGATTTATCTTCTATGAATGCACGAGCATTCAAAGGTGGTTTACTTACTTGTTAGAGTCAGGACCAACTGTCACTCCGCATTCATTAGCTCTTAAGCCAGTGAATGTGAATTACAGTGAGTAGCAAGCAAGCGAACGGAGCGTAGCATAGTTCGCGAGAAGGAGAAGCTAGTCAGCAGGAATAGCGGCCTTTCCGCTGCTAGGTCTTTCACCCCATGCCAACAAAAAAGGCAGGTTCATCAACCCTGCGAGGGTCATTATTTCGCTTCTAGAGCGCTCAGCCCTGTGTCAGAAAGAGATTGAGGGCACATTCCGGCCCGGCTAATAAAATGATTGAAATCCGTTTTTGCATAGCTTGCATTCTCTTTATTCGCCAATGAACATCTACCTTTCGTCTGTAACGTGCATTTTTTGCTTTCTTTAATGGATCCTCGAACTTGATTGAAAGCCAATGCATTTTCCGAAAGGGGGTCTTGAAAAAAAGGCCTACCCCTTGGCAGGAGATGTTGAAGTAGCGCATGAAGTAGTCTCTATCTCCCGGTCGGAGACAAGGGATGGATGTCGCTAGGCTAGGTCAACTCTCTCATTGGTTTCATTATCCCTATAACGATCACTAGAAAAAGATATGTGCTACTACTATCCCGATGCAGCGAAGCTAGGTGGTGCTATTATGACGGGGGAAGGGTCTACTTCTGCTCCATCGGAATGCTTTTGGTGGCAGGTCTTTCTATTACCGATATGGACCTCAGGGTCTCATTCTGTACCTAGGTAAACGATCTATATAACTAAGGTCAGTATATGAATCTGCTGCGTCTTTTATCTCTGGTGTTGGATCACCTACTCACTACTGCGCTGCGACAAGGACTGGAACTGCCTCCGCGTTTGGACCTTTGATTAATTAACATCTCTTTTGTTTATTGACCTCCTATTTCTTTGTTTTTAATCCTAATCCACAGGAGGTTAAATTCATACTTTAGACTGCTGTTAAATTATTTAAGTGTCATTCTCGATCTAACAAGAATGGAATCACGCTCTGTAGGATTTGAACCTACGACATCGGGTTTTGGAGACCCGCGTTCTACCGAACTGAACTAAGAGCGCTTTATTTTCAGAAATAATTTTTTGTGACCCCAATACATCTTGCATGCATAATATAATTTTTCTTTTCTTAATAATAAATAAGCCCTTGGCATAGAAGCTGTGAAAGAATAGGCTGCTGGAGGAAGAACCGCCCCAAAGCGGGAGAGAAGCGGAACGGGCAAGTCAGCCAGAGCAGCTTTGAGGGAAGCCAGCTCCTCATCTGACTTTGTTTGAAGGTCGGTGTCGAGGAATGGCATGGTCTCCGGGAGAAAGAAAGCCAAAGGAGCGAAAAGCACACCATCCTAGGTAAGCAGCATCTTTGAAGCGGCATCTCACTCAATATACCCAATTCTCAGATCTTTCTTTTCCGGCCGATTCCGTGCCACTCTACTTTGGACCCTCTTGCAGGAGCTCGGACTGAGTCTAGTTTAGGTCCATCCGAGGGTTTGCCTTTTCCTTCTGCACTTCTTCACTTTTCTGCTTTTTGGATGGGTGCTCTCCCCCGAGTGAAGGCATAAGCCGTAGCCGTAGACAGTCACTAGCACTAGTTTGATCGCTATGCCATTCTCGGCAACGATGTGGTGATAGCTGATCGACGAGTTGCTTCGGTCTACCTTGTTGAATCATCTACATTGATTGAGGACTCGATGTCAGAATTCATTCTTCGATACCCTGTTGTAGAAGTTTTCATCTAGTTCCTGTAGCTAGTCGTAGATGCATATTATAGCTGCTATCGGATCAGAGGTTCGGGGGATTTTGAACTATATTATTTAAAAATATATATAAATTTTATTCCTGTTGGATCTCTTGCTTTCAAGTTCTCTTAGTTTCTATGTAACTCAATCAGGACGTAGATGTAGATACGGATAGGGGTAAACCGGGTAACCAATCCATGACTCCTTCACCCTTAGATCGCAAGACTAAGGCCAACGAGGCGGAACCTCGCGTGATAGGCTGGTTCTCACCAGGGTCAGTCCTATCACAAAATTATAGTTTATAACCTCACTCTGCTTGGTAAGGCAGAGCCCTATGTTAGTCAAATAGGCACCCCCCGGTTTCTTAGTGAAACTCATCAAGGTGAGGTTTGGTGGGCTAGCTTATAGCTATTCTATCACTCAGGGATCCAGAATGGAGCAACTAGGGGTGACGCGGAAGCCACCTGGGTGGGGTCAGATATGATATCAAGCGGCCTCATGCAGGTAACCAAACCAGCGTAGGAAGCTTATCTATTTAGATAATAGGCTTCCATCTGGAAAACTTTTTTTATAGGATATCTATAGTTAGACTCATCCAATGGTGGAAGATCTTCGGCTACTAAAGTCAATGTGTAATAAGTTGATTTTAGTAGTCACTGATGGTCTAACCTAACCAAGGAGCTCTGTATTGGAGCATACCTCTTTGCCAAGCAGGTAGTTTGAATCGCCGGTCAGGCGCTCTGTTTACTGCTTTATATCTGAAGCAGTGCGCAGTAACACTTCAACAGGCGTACGGTGGGATTACCCCGTATGATATTCATACTAAACTATCTGTACCCGTATCACTCACTAGATCAGGTTACCCTAGGATCAGACCATCCTTTCATAGACTATAATTTAACTTATATCGATTCTGACGTGCATCATGTTCCTTCTCATTCGATTTAGACCGATCACGGATATCCGCCTTTCCATTTGACGGCATTTCTATGTTAGTAAAGAAAGCGGCAGATCAATCACTTACCTTTCGTTAGCGGTTTCGCGACTCTAATATAGATGTTTCCTTTATATACTATAAATAGCTGTTTTGCTTTTTTTTGTTCTTTCATCTTGAATCGTTTTCGAAGAATCTCGAGAGTAATAAGTCGCCAGCCTAAAAATTAAGCCTGTATCTATATAACTCGTTTCAACATGACGAAATCGAGATAACATTGTTAAATTTGGGTAGGGCATGCACTTCGAAACGAAAAAAAATCTGCACTACGTTCCGTCAGAAAGCAAGCCCCATCTTCTATTCTTATCATTTGTTCACTTATTTCACTTACTTTCAAAAAGCGGTACTGACACTAGTCAATCATCGAGCCTTTAGCCAATGATGGATTTACAATCAACGCGGTTTTTCGGAGAATACCACTTTAGCAGCGACTAAAACTAAAGCGTATGGCCTTGTGGAGGTTTCTAAGGATCGTTAATCCCAATGGACAAACCTTGGATCCCATTAGCGCGGGCGCCGGTAATACTCTATCTTAGAGCTCATAAAGGTGCTGGGAGCATTTTAGTAAAGCGCGTTCAAATAGCATGAGCTTTTGATACTTATGAGATCGATGATGTATTGAAATTCGTCTTTCATTGTTGTTCTTTTGACGGTGTAATAATGCGATGTACCTCCTTATATTTATATAGGACTTTCGATCTACCTTGGCGAACTGTCGTCGAGAAAGGACAACAAGGACTTTCCCCTATGTTACGTTTTGTCAACATATACTATTTTTATGGGCGGTGCCGCGATTACTAGCGATTCCCCATGCTAGAGCGCGCCTACATCCAATAGGTACTCAATTCTATTTTAGGGCAATAAAGAACTTAGAGCAAGATAATTATATATCCGATATGTACCTTCCTTCCATCCGGGAGTACCCGTTTATCAGTGATCTCTTGGAAACCAACATAGTCCAGTGTACCAAATAGTGGTCGGATCCTAGATTTAAAAGAGTCATTCTCCCTGATCGGGCGGGAGTAAGAAGAAGAAGGAGCACTTTAATCTTCCCTTCCGGGCTTACAAGACGAGACCTAGATGGTACGTTATAGGATATTCGAAAAAAAGCAAGTAGGACAAAATGACTGAGGTAAAATGGCACGCGGTAGTCATTCAAACAAAAGACGCTGAGGAACCTCCATCGAGCCACGTGATCCGCTACAACTCACACAAACAAAGACTAGGTTCGGCTTCTCAAAAGAAAAGGGGGGGGGGGGGGGGGGAGAAAAGAGGACCGGGGTGCTCCCCGCTAACCGAAGTCTTGGATTTTTCTTTCTCGGAACCTTCCCTTACCTTTTATTCTCTTTAAATATTTCGTATTAGTGCAAGGGGGCCTTCTTTCTTGAAGTTGTAATGGCACAAGAGGACGATTCTAGGCTTCAGATAAGCAAACAAACCTGTGCTCCCTTTTTCCAGTTGTAGCAACTCAAGTCCGTAAGCGGGTTCAACGGAAAATCCAAGGTTTTCTCGAATCAATAAAAAGATAATAATAAGGTCAAATCTAGCTATTCCACCTTTCGCTGCTAGTTAGTGGTCTGGTCGTAATGAAATTATAAATTCTTCTTGGCTCCCACCGAACCTCTTCTTAGAGCCTTTCCTTGCCCAAGCAAGGGCTATGCTATAAGAAGAGAAGGAAAGGCTTGGTTTAGGGAACCGGCCCCCCCAGTCGCTAAAGTAGTTCATCGTTTAGAGCCGCCCAATATTAGTTCTACAGCCCCCAGTTAAAGACCGAGAAAGCCTTCACTAAAGCATAACTAAACCCAAACTTGGATGACATTATATTTTTGGGGTGGGGTTCTCCTGAAAAAAGGAAGTTATTTCCTGGACAGACCATCTAATAAGGGCAACTACGACGACGAAACCCCTTGCTTTAGCTTATCTAAAAGCTTGGGGCGTGTAGCTCTCCGTACAAGTAAGAAAGTTAGTGCCGTGTAGCCCTAGGCGAAGAAAAAGAAAGAATAAGGAGTGAGAACCAAGGAACTCCAGAGAGGTTGGTTACGAAGTTGGTCAAAAAGCTAGTACATCATCTCCACCTGGAATTGGAAAGTGCTAAATAACTCTTTTATTAGCGGCAACTATAACTTTATCTGCTTATTCAGTGAGGAGGGCAGCATCTGCCTTTGAATGGAATCTAGCTAGGGAAAAAGGTATACCTCGACCTGGGGTGGGGGCAGAACAAATAAAACCGCAAAGAAAGAAGGGACAATCTATCTGAATTAGAGATTGCACAGGCTTTCTTGAATTAATTACTTTCCGCGGATCTATTCGTAAAGCTTTATATCTTCGCTTCGGGCTTATAGAGCCTAACGGAATAACTTTCTTTGGTATTGGGTAGGTGGATTGGAAGAAGAGCAAGGTCATTGGTTTGCTAAATAGAAATGGAGATGGTTCTTCTGGGTTCAAATCCCCGTCTTTGAATTGGCTCGATCTGTATTGGCCACATCCTCCATTGGTAAGCATCACTAACTAAGAGTTGAGTTGCATCTTTGCTTCTCTTTCTTTCCTGGTCTTTTCGGAGGGTAAAGGTGAACTCGGATGGGTGCGCCAAGGGGTGAGGCTGGATAAAATCATTAGAGATGCCCGTGGGCTTGTGACTTGGGAATCTGTAGTCGTCTTAGGCGGTCCGGTACCTTCGTGGTACTAACATGGTCTACAAAACCTAAGTGAGTTTGCATCCAGTCATGGATGGATGATAGTCATGCAGCTCACACCTTAGGTCATACCAAGGTGCCCTATCTATATAGGGTTCCCACGCAATGATGGGTTGGTGTCGAAGACCAATATTGTGAAGGACGCAGAGGGCTAATTCCTTCTCGTCGCTCAATCTGGAGTAAGAAGTCGGCTACCAGCACGAGTGTACACATCTTGGGATGGTACATCTTGTGACCACCAGCATTGCAGGGCACTGAATGATAGTTTTTATTCTCCATCCTGAAGCCTTGGCTTCGCACCCTAACGGGCTTATGGGTACTGGTGGGAAGAGGGCGTAAGCAAAGTGATTATGAATCGTTTTGCCTCCTTCCCTGATTCGTCTTTCGCCATTACGGCAGTTCTTCGAAGACTTCTCTCGACTCCTAATCTAAAGCTAGTGGAAGTAGTCCTTTTTAAGCTGTTTATGGCCAAAATCCCGAGAGTCCTCTGGACTTAGCTCCACTTCCAGCTACTCACAACTTTAGTGGAGATGCGGTTGAAGAAAATTTATAAGTTGCATGAGCGAGAAAATTTCTAACTAAGCAAAATGAGAAGTATCAAGCTCAAGCTAACAAGCATCGCAAGTTTTCTGAGTTCAAAGAAGGTGATCTGGTGTAGGTTCATCTTCGAAAGGAGCGTTTCCCGCGAGGACAATTTGCTAAGCTCAAGCCTAGAGCTGATGGACCATTCAAAGTTATCAAACGCATTGGTGAAAATGCCTACAAGATTGAACTACCAGCTGAGTATGAGGTTTCAGATACATTGAAAGTTTCTGATCTTTTTCCTTATTATGGTGAAGAAAGCACTAACGACTCGGGGGCGAGTCTTCTTCAACTTGAAGGGGAAAACTAGAAATAAAGGAAGTAGTTTTGGTTGGGTAAATTTCTTTAGAAATGTTATAAATAAAAGAGAGGGGCTTTCTTTCTTCAGCATGTGAGGGAAATGCCCCGGGTACCGAAGTTAGCGGATAGAGAGGGCGGCGGGTGGAGGGAGCTTCACTTACCGAGAGGGATGTTATTCGAACGACAGAATGGACGGGCACAGACAGAATGAATCGCCCGACTGGAGCATAAATGCATTATTAGAATCAGAAAAGTAAGAATACGATCTTGTCGCAATGGAATCCGTAACTGCAGCTATTGAGTATGATGTGGGCCTAGAAGAGAGCTTTCACTGGCTTTTTATTAGGATGGATGTAGATATAAGTCGTCTCTTGGCCAGGGCATTGGCAGAGCAGCTTCCACTCCTCCCTTCGATAAGCTTCCTTTTTTGGGCACTGGACCTAGTTACCGCTCCATGGGAACATCTATAGATTCCGCTATCGGGAAAGTAAGGCATGGAATCACGCTAAGGTAAGGTTTCTATCTAATCCATCTAGAATAGGATATACTCTATCTATTTAATTTTCCACTTCTGCCTGGCTGACTGAATAAACAAAAGGAACCATAGCTAATACTGATCGATGAGCCTTCTCTCTCCTTGATCTGTCTAGTTCTATTTTGACTAATCCGAATCTGTGGACTGAGTGAGTAGCTAACTAAAATATAATATTTGAGGATATAGGAGTGGGGCTATTCTTCGCACCGATAAAATCATTAGTAAATCTCGTTATCTCCACGGGTTAAGGGCAGAATCAGACCTTGGGGAACCGGTACGAAAGGGAGCTAGCTAAGGCAGCAAGCCAAGAAAGGCAACATAGTAGGCCTTTTAGAAAGGAAGCCAACTCTTGTTCGACGTAGGGTAGAGTAACTTATTTCATTCCTGGGGTTTTCCATCCGGGCTTTAATGCGGCTAGAGACGGAGACTTTCCCAGTGAAAGCGCTGGCGTTCAGTTTGGTTGCGTGCTTTCCGATCTCTTTCCCTTCCTTTCTGTGGTAGCATGTTTGCTAGTCTTGTTGGACTAGGAGCTCTACTAGGCTTGACCGTGGTAAATTTACTTATTCTTGCTCAAGTAAAGTGGAATCAGTTTCATTTGGCTCTAGACTACGATTCAATAGAGAACGATTTGGCACATCTTCGATTTCCTGGTATGAAAGCTTGGTTTTATTTGAGTTCAAGATATTCGGGTCTTTGCTTTTGCTCTTTGTGATCCTTGTCTTTAGCTTGGGACTTAGCTTGGCACCAGGGCGGCTTGCTCATCGTGCTTATGGCTTGGCCAATTAACATTGTCTTCGATCGAGTGCTCTTATTTCACAACGATAGGTGGGTTACCCTTTCTTTGAACCTTGTCAATGATCGAACTTAAAACAACGGGCGGCCTACCTGACAGCTATCAATCATGAACTAGCAGGATGGACTGCCTTTGAAGCCGGTATTGTTTATATAAATTAGACTTTAGAATAACAACTCGCTATCCGTGCTTCCTTTCTATCACTACTAAAATTCTTTACTTACTCCCTTGCTATAGCTTGCCTTACTTGATAGCTTCGCTTGTTTACAGGTACAGGATAGGTCGCTAAGCTCCCTCTTCATATCTGTGGGGCCAGGCCAATAGTAGTACTTTTTCGCTTATTCTTTCTGGGCGAGGGCACCCCCTTTCAAGTCTCAAGGTTTGGAACCAACTCTACTAGGTTGAGGAACCCACAGGCAGTATAATGTTACCCCACCTTCCGTAGGCATTTTCGGGGAGTAGCCTGCTTAAGCATACACTTGTATTGGGCTGCGGAGGATCCCGAATCCCGGGGATCCCGAGGCGGCTCCCGCTCCAAAATAAGACCATCACTGGAAAAGAAATAACAAATAATACAACACCCTCACGATTCAAAAAATGAATATTCGTCAAGGTCGGCATCCCAGATTCCCTTGTTCCGGATATCGGCAAAGATCAAATCAGCCTCACGTAAAATGGCATTGTTATTGGGGTTTTCCGCAATAACTTGCAAGATGTGAAGTAGGCCTTCTTTACTATTTAATCTATCTTTCGCAACGAGCTCAAAGACCCGCCGCGCCTTGTTGTGGGACGGCATCGGTCCCCCATCAGGTGTCCCCATGCTATGGACATACGTCAGAATGACACGGTGAAGAGCCCAATACCCGTTCGGTAGGTTTGGACTCTCATGGCGGTCATCTGTGTACACTGGGGGCTGTTGCGCCGGTGGATTCGCTACAGGTGGTGCTTGTTGGCCGGCAATCATAGGGTAAGCGGAGAAAGTTTACATGTTGGGCCAGGCTAGTTTGCTTCGATGGTAGGAGTCCACGCAGTGAGGCAGCCATTTCCAGTGACCTTTTTGGGGGTTGGTTCTATACGAGGAAATCGAATATGGTCCCTGTCTGTCATCCAATCCAATAGGCATTTAGGGATCCCCGATTGTAGATTGTAGTGAGCTTTTGGTAGTCCTATGCCTGTCTCTCCAGCTTGTCTATGTCTATGGGTTTGCATATGTCTTTTCAAGGGCTGGCTTTTTATAATGACCTTAAATGAAAGCGCAAGAACTAATGATAAGGAGCTAAAGGCCTACATTCTAGTATACCAGGATCGTCACGAGAGGATTGGGGAAGGTCTAACTATGGACTGGACCATAAGACGCAGTTTCTTATGGCCTAGTATAGGATATCTTTATGTTCCGCTGAAAAGAGATAAGCACTAAGAAGACGACTATTTTGTGTTGAATATGCTTTCTTCCACATAGGCTAGCTTCCTCCTTGTGGCGAACAAGACTGAGAATTCTTTATTCTATTTAGATATATATATATATATATATATATATATATATATATATATATATATATATATATATATATATATATATATATATATATATATATATATATATATATATATATATATATATATATATATATATCTATTATAATATAAGAATACGAGTCACGCTCTCTCTTTTTTCGCCCTTCTTCCCGCTATACTTATCTCTTTTGGACCTTGTCACAGCCTAAAAACCCCATCTTATTTTTATGATTCGGATTAGTTCAAATAGCCTTGATAAAGACCAAGACCCAGGGCATAGGATGGAATGATTTTCCTCACCAAAGCCTTCGATCATCATGGAATCACGCACGTTGAGAGATGAGTGATCCACGCGAACTAGCCAAGTGCAAAGTCTTAGCGCGGGGACCCCTCCACAGCTAGGTTATTTATTTCCTATACCAAAGCTTTTCGGCTGGGCTGGGCCTATTGCGAGCCCACGTCAGGTTTTCCAATGACTTTGCTTTACCTTGTCCTCTAGTTGGTTGGCCGAATCATCTCTTCCACCGTAGTGGGAATGCTTTTGTCTAGCTGTTATAAACATATGAAAGACCGGCCCAGTTCGTATCAGGGCTTCTGTTTGTGGAAGCATGTAATCTTAAAAAAATAAATAACCTGTAGCTATGTCCGTCCCTGAACTTTTGCGGCATTGCCCATGGCATGGGCATGAGCACAACACCTATGTATGGGCAATACCTCCCTATATTCTTTGCAAGAGACCATTCCCTCACAGTCGATGCTCCTTCTTGCTACAAAGGCACCCTTGAAACTTGGAAGATTTATTCTAGTAAGATGGCAGGCAAAGTCTAGCAGGGGCAAGCCTAAACCTCTACTTCCACCGTCGCAGCCTATAACTCTAAAGCTAGAGTATAGTATATCTAAAGTGCGCTTTTGGCTTATTTATCGTTTTAGTTGAAAATGTCACTTGCACAACTCTTCATAACAGCCCCTTCTATGCCTAGTGCTTTTGCAAATGGGCAATTTATGGGCATTTGAGAACAAGCCCTTAATTTTATTCTTCAATTGCGCAAACCAAGACACCTACTCTTTTTATGTTTTCTGAACAGCGCAAATTATTGAGATGCTAAAGAGGGACTGGACTGGCCAAAGGGATAAGGTACATCCTGTTGATGTTGAGCATTCTATTCTTCTTGCTCACTCAAGATATACTGACTTGTTTTCATGGAGCGAAGAATGCTTTCTTTCTCGCTTACTCGAGAGCTAACCTAGAATAAAGAGTCTTTGACACGGCGTCAATATGGCTTAAAGAAGGTCGCTATGCCTCGAAGAGTTATATCGTAGCGCTTTCAAAAAGATCTTTTTTATCCTTATCCTCTGTAAGCTAAAAGGATATATTCTTAGGTAGTGACTCAATAGCTCTCCCCTCTAGTTTTCCCCCAATCCTCTCCTGCTCATAATAGGGCTTTCAAGGGCTATGTCATCTAGAAAAACGGATCCATTAGCATTAGTTTCCTTCTTTTTTTTTCTTTTTTGGTTGGAGCCTATCTTATATGCTTTCTTATGCCTTTGCAGTGCCTGAACGTTTTGTTTTGGTAAGGGACACGAGTGAACAAAGGAGAGGTTAAACCGCTTACTAGCGGCGAAAGCGCTTCTATATCGAAGTTCCACATCTTTGTGACAAAGACGATGCTAGTCTTTTCGACGAATTACCTGTTGGAGGAATACTATAGGGACTTTTCTCTCGAGAGATGGGGCATATCCGCTCTTAGCAGCATTCCTCCTCAGATGGACAGAGTAGAGCCTTATTAGTGATCAGTCCGCTAGTTTCCTGGATCCCACTCGGTCTTCCTTTTCCCTTTGCTCCCTGGATAAGTCTCATTCGATGTCGCAACCGATGCTTAAAACATATTATTTATTCTATCTTCTCAGTCTTCGATCGATCATTCTCTGCTTCATAGAGGAGGGGTTTCCCAGATAACAAGGAAGCGGGATTTAAAATAGAGGTAAATTCTAAACTGGACCGAGGTGGCCTATACACCAATTGACCGACACCATTCCTGAAGAAACGAAGATCGTTGCAAGAAGACCCCCCCCGTGTAAATGGCAGAAATTTGACAGCAGTAGAACAAACCTTGGGCTTGACATGACAGCACCTCGCGGCTCCCTTTCAAGATGAACAATGCGGCTAAGCGGGGCAGATGTGCCGATGGATGGAGGCGGCTGCATGCTGCATCTAAGAGTTTAGTTCCATGAGACTGAATAACATGGCCTGAAACGAAGTAAACTCACTTTGCTTAACACAGGGCAGCAGAGCAGGGCTTCTTTCTCACCCTCACCCGTCATCCAACATGGTTCGCACCAGTGTTATTTGACTCGCTTAGTCCATCGCTGCTTGGCTCTACTTCAACCACTACAGACGGTTCCCTTGCAGCTAAAAGAATGCGATAGAACACCTTTTCTTACATCAGGAGATGAAAGCCGTCAAGCAGGCAACAAAGTCGAATATTCCTCTTCACTTCCTCAAAAGTGCTAAAAAGAGCCCCTGAGTGCAGACCCATCCCCAAGGGACTAAACGCATTAAGTTATCTTTCAAAGAGCTTATTCGAGAACAACCTATTCTAAAAGGAACCTATTTTAATTTGAAAACAGCTTCTTTTAGGGATGACTATTCTGCAGCGGTAATTGCAAACAGAAAGGGAGCACCGCTTACTCAAGCACTAGTACCGTCTAAGCATCCCACAGCTGATGATTTATTTCCTTCAAACCTTCCACCAGGAGGATGCTACTTCTCTTTTCTATTCTTTTACAGATTACTTGCCCCAGGAATGCTTGCTGTCCGCAGTTAAGGGACAGAGGGAAGGTGACGAAGGTAATCCTACTACGGCACTAAGACTCATTCAGTCTATTTGGCGACTATTCCCACTACACAGCTACTGTTGTAAGGAAGGAATTCGGTTTAAAGCTTGTTTTGTTGCGGGGAATCTGGTTTGAAATTTATTACACTCCTTCGCTCCCTCTTTCCTGTGCTAGCAATCCGGTAATTCGGTAAAGAAGTAAAGCAGGAAGTCCAGTAAGCCAAGGAGAGATCCCGGGAAAGCCAAAGCTGTGCTTTCCTTACTTCTTCTTATACCCTTGCAGGGAAAACAAAATAATACATACCAATGCCTTATCTCAGCATTAGGAGTTCATTAAAAAGGTAAGAAGGAATGGTCGGATGTAAAGAGATGTCCCTGAGACTAGTTAAATCATAGAAGAAGGTAAAAGAGTAAGACTAGCAATTCGGGATAGAAGGACTAATTTACTTATATTTAGCCCTAGAGGAGATCGAGACTGGTATTAGTTACTTTACCGAGGCGAGGAGGGAAAGATAATGACATTGATAAAAAAACCTCTTCGTAAAGAAAGAACAGACTTAGAGCTTAGAGACGAATGCACCAAAGAAAGGTAAAGGTCAGACTCCTAATTCTAAGCAGCCTCCGATTCTTGCAACTCTCACATGAATTTACTTTTTTTTCGCTTTCACTAAGGGACAGAGTCTGTCTTTACAGCACAGTAGGGAGATAAAATTCATGTACTAGAGAGGAAAGCAAGCCAAGAGCTCTCACTTGAGGCGAAGAAACTAAGCTCACTTTCCGCGCCAAAGAGAATCCACTCGTTTATCTAGTAGGGAGAGAGAGACAGTCAGGGTTGACTTGAGTGAGTGCCCAGGATTTACCCAGGTGGGGCATCCTGGAATCTGACTTCGGAGTTTCGGTTGAATTGAAAAACCCCGCTAAAATAATTTAAATGTCTCTTCTTGTTTGTTTTCATCGGCTAAGGGTCTCTTATTATTAACCAGAACAAGACTTGGCTTATACAATTTTGCGAAGGAAAAATAAAGCTAGCTTTTCTAGGGCCAAAAGGGGGAGTACCATGTAGTTAGGAAGATGATCGATGCCTAAAGCATGTCTACTTAAGATCTCTATCCTTTCTGGTGATCAAGATATCCCAAGAAGAGAGACCTGATGGCGCGCCTTTACTAGAAGAGAAGGAAAGAAGACACTTACTAGAAATCTATTCCACTACCGCTTTCTTTCTCTCTGTCCACATCCATGACTCACCCACCTTTCCATCCCCCCTCAAAGATCCACCCGATCGATGAAGACTTGAACCGAACTCGCAGTGATCAAATCGACTTTGGAGAGTAAATCCATCCTCAGGGCAAGCCAAAGGAAGGACGGGATAGAGCTCCAAGACAGGCTGAAGCCAGAGAAGGATAGACGAGACAAGGAAGCAAAGGAGAAAATAAAGATCGGAATAGAATAGAGGTAATGGTTGAACGAACGGTAGACCCAACTCTGTATACTTAGCCGGAAGCAGGGCATTCCACCGATTCCACTTAGGGAGAAAGCCTTTCCCGTATCTATTTGAACCCGATCTTAAAATTTCTATCCGGTAGACTTGGTAAGGTAAAAGGGCCCCGACTTATTTTATTTCCAGAATTAGAGTTCGACTGCAGCTGCCCCTTTTTTGTTTTGGGGGGATCAAGTTCCTTGCCAACTATCGACCCCGATCTCTTTTCATTTATTTGGGGTATTACTAGCCTAGCCTTCGTCAATCACACTAAAGAAAAGCACCCAACTACGGCAAGGCCCCCTTAATTAAGGGTTAGGTTAGTAAATCCGGCCCGAGACGCGTTCGTTGACAAAACCGCCGTAGGAATGGAGACCTTTCAATAGAGCGAAGGCGAACTGATCAACGAGAAAGAGGCCCTACTCACTACAAACGAATACACCACAAGATCGAACTGCACTCATGCCTCTGCCGCATCAAGTTGACCGACCCCCTAAGTAGTTCTTCTATCAATCATGTACGTAGGTAGGGTCCCCCATTCTGATTGGTATATCATGAAAAATAAAAGCCATTTGCACCAGGCGCACTGCGCTTTCCCTTGCCTAGATGTTCGCCTTTCTAAGTCAAGTAATGGTGACCCACCGAAGACTGGAGCCTTATAACATGTTGACGAAGACCCCCGAACTGAGGGTTCGATCAGTAGAGGGGACGACTTAGCCTCCCCGGAAGAAGAATAGCCCCGCTCTCTAGCCGACTGATCCCGTTGATCATATAACTGGGAGGGAACGTGTCACATTAGAGGTGAACGATCAGAGATGTCCGATAATTACCACGATGAGGCTGG